CGAGAAAAAAAAAAACTAGTCCCACAAGGACACCTCGACATGGGGACTGCAGACTCAATCACATAAATGCTTTTCAGTATGTAAGATATGGTTCTTGTTACCATTGCTAACTCTGAGAGACGAGCCAGTCCAAGTAACTTCAAAACAGTGCTGATTTATTCAAAGGATCACAGGTAAAATTAACATTACACGCTCAGGTATCTTGCACCTCCAAACTGCTCGCAGGCAGATGTAAGATGAAAGACCCTGAACCCACCAGGCCTATACATTATATCCCCTCGGTTGGGCTAGCCCCATACTACACAGAAACGTCAACCGGGACGTCTCTGTTACCAGCTTTGCAGCTGGTCATAGCAGTAGTCAAAACATGAAGCAAATCAACATGTGTGTGTGTCTGTTGATTAAGTGGTGTGTAGCTAAAAACATTCTCACATGACCTCTAGTGACATGCCATGACATTAAACATAGGAAATTAACAGGTCTATGACTCACAAAACACACACTGCAGCAAAACAGCACAACCCTTGACTGTTATAAAATATTTTACCTGGTGATTCTCACATGATCTCTCACAGCTTTTCTTTAAAACCAGAACAGAGAGACAACATAGTAGACAGGACACAACATAACTCAGCATTACTCACTGCTTCTGCTTCATCTTGTACCCTGTAGAAACTCATATGCATGACTAAGCATTTAACAGTCTAACTAGACATCCTATCTCCACTAAACATTTCTAATACATAAAGTATCTATCCAATATCTATCTGACTAAAAATACCTAACAAGAAGTATACATTCTTCGAAACAAACATAAAATTGACAAAATTCCCTTCATTCACCTTAATTGCAGCTAAAATGACCAACCCATGGTATTTCCATACACCTACCCACTGAGAACAGGTGAGCCAGCTAACCACCGCAGAAGTTTTTCATACCTTTTTCCTCGTTTTTCTTTTATCCACATGGAGAGAAAAAACTGTGCACCAACAGTTAATTTGTGAAGTGAAGCTAACTGACGTATTTTAGCACGCTACATCCTGTTTCGTCAAAATAACATCCCGTTTTTTCAAAATAAAACCCAAAATACATATAAACGTAAAATAAAAGATAAATATTGCTCAGAAATTATTAAAATAAAACGTTAACCCTTTCTAGGCGGGTTACAGGAGATAATAAATATTGAGCAGAATTAAGTTAAAGTTATTGCTGGTTCGGCCCTCCAACACAGTTCAGGTTTCTCATGTGGCCCCTTGTAAAAATTTATTGCCCAACCTTGTCCTAGAGTAACCTGAGGGGGTTTACTACTCTGTTAGTTGGATGGCTGCCCAATTTGCAGCCCAGATTAAAAGACAGCATGAGGACACCTGTTGCACCTCAGAGAGGGAGAGATAGAAAAGAGTCTAATGTAAATTCAATGTTTTCAAGATGTCATCCTGTGACAGGTTAATGTGTTTATGTATCACATTTTAATGAGTAGGACACCTGTATGACAGTGATATGTCGCCTGTCACTTTGTGCTCATTATTTTTGTTTTACAGCTTCTGAAGGGGTGACTACTGCAGGAGCTCTGTAAACTGTTCTGCTTCATGAACCAGAAATGGAGATATTGACCTTTTGCAATAAATCCTACTCCTTGTTTCAGACTGAGGAGACTGTTTTTTCAAAAGATAAGGAAATTCTATCTGGTGAGAGCTTATACTGGCCCAGGTTGGAGTTTTCACAACACACCAGTAAATGTGAGACAAGACACAGAGTCAAAGCAGGACAGATGACCCACGATGATTGGTGAAACAGTTTCTGGTCCAGATTCAGACTGATTAGGAGTTTCTCCAGCAGCTGACGTAGAACTGGCCCAGACTCTGTGCCCATAAAGTGCGTCCAGACAGACTCTAGCTTCTGTTCAGTTGGGATACCATGAGTCATCACTGAGAAACAGAGCTGAAGAGGAACAAGACAAGAACACATCAGTATTGATCTGTTGGTGAGATGTTGCGTTATTGCTGTGAATGGGAAAAGGAACCAGTGAGTCCTGCTGTCAGATAAATGCAGTCATGTCAAGTAGCAGTAGCTCAGACTGCATTTCCTGTGAGTCCAGGACTGGACTCTGTGACTTTCCACCACTGATTCCAGCAGCACAGTCAAGTTCATGGAGTCACAGCCACATGTTCAGCCGTCCACATGCTCAGAGAGGACAAGGACACTTGGACTGGACCCAGTAAGAGACCAACTGGCAGGTCAACTGGTCTGAAGGTTTACCATCTTCTGATTGGTTCAGCTGTTCTGCTGCCATTGTGTTTCTTCTCCTCACTGAGGAGTTGGTTGATCAGGGTTTTTGTCCTTGTTCAACCAAGTGCAGGTCTGTGGTGCAAGTCTCTGTCTGTGGTTTCTTGTCACAACAGGTTGATTTCTGTTCCAGTGGCTTCAGAACGTGTGTCTGGGCTGTTTGCTTCAGGTCACTGCGGTGCTGAAAGGTGAACCGTCGGCCTGGTCTCAGATTTTCTTCCAGGATCTCTCTGTGTCCAGCTGCACTCATCCTTCCCTCAGTTCTGACCAGTTTCCCTGTCCCTGCTGCTGAGAAGCCCCTCCACAGCAGGACGCTGTCCCCACTGCTAAACTCTGTAGGGACAGTGTTAACAGGCGATGAGCAGAGCCTGGTGTGTGTCTTTCTAAACTCTGTCCAGTTGGCCCAGTTTGCCACAGGTGGATCCAGTCTGGTTCTAGACATGCGTCAATGAGGACGAAGCAAACAGGAAGCAGCTGAGCACAGTTTGGAGACACAGCAAAGGCTCGGACAGAGACCTCAGTCTGTGGTTTTCAATGAATCATCAAATGTTTTTAAAAACATGTTTCACTTTATGGTTGAGAGTTATTTAGTGTCGATGTAAAAATGGCAGTTTGATCCATTTCACATTAAACCTATAACACAATAAAGTGCCAGACAGTGAAGGGGTCAGAGTTATGTCTGCAGCCACAAGCCAGAAACCAGTCAGTGTGTCGGGTTGCTAAGCTGAAGCCGCTCTAATAGGATCTATGGGGTCGGAGGTCTGTGAGGGACAAAAAGAGGTGGTCCCTGGAGGAAGAGTCTCACTGCGGACAAACGCTCTCTCTGCTCCAACCTCCACTCTTCCCTGGCACCATTGTGGATTTACCTTCACACCGTGACCACTGAGAGTTTCCGGGACACATCACTACCAGCCTCTTCACCATGCACCCGACCCACACATACACCTCCATAACATAACGCTGTGAGAGGCCGGCTCACACAGGGCGGGGCTACAGGGTGGCTGGATACTGGCCTGACTGACAAAAACTGTGTCTGTGGAGACCCTCAGTCAGCCAGGTCATGGTGGATCCAAAGGGCTAGAGGTGGACCCTGGACTAGTTCCAAGCCTTGAAGAGGTTTCAGCTTTCATCCCAGAAGCTTCTTCAGCTCTGACCAACTAGTGGGGAGTCTCAGAGTCGCACAGATCCATGTGACCAGGCTGAAGCAGTCGAGTGCAGCGTTGCATCAGAAGTACCGTGGGATTTCTCCTGAGTCTCAACCTTTCAGCACTCACATGAAGAACCTTCAAGATTCTGAGGCCTTAAGTTTGAGAAGCAGATTCTGGACCTGATGGACTTAAAGGATCTGTGGACCCCTGGAACCAAACACAACCTGTAGTACTTTAAGAAATGAGCGCAGCTGGTTTCCAGAGGTCACATACAAATGTCACTGATACAAATTGGTGGGATGAAATGAGCTCAGGCTCATTTTAAGATCAGATTTTATTGCTGATGGTTTGATGAAGAGGAGACACTGTGTCACTACTCACATGATTTGTCTCTGAGAGATGTAACCTCACGGTCATAGTCGTACCTATAGGGAGAAAGAGAGCAGTTAGAGTGAGAGGAATTAACCAGCTTGTGTCTGAGCCTTATTAAACCTGACAGTGATGATCCAGATCATCAGTCCCAGCAGCTGAACATGAACTGATTCTCTATCAATAAGCCTGATCAGCAGCTCAAACAGATAACTGTGGCTTCACTTCCTCTGTGTGACGTTCAGGATTTGACCATCAGTGTCCTGATATTCCAGCTGCTACACATCCTGTTTATTTGAGCCTTCACTGAGTAGATGTGCACATACGGCACCAGTCTAAAGTTTGGACCTTCTCATTAGCTGCTTGTTTCTCTGAGTTTCTACACTGGAGACTCCGACTGAAAACATCAGCAACATGAAACAACACATGTCGAATGATGTAGGAAGCAAACCCATGTTACAGCAGAACAGGGCTCATGGTGTCACTGTTTGCCTTGATGCCAGCTGTGCACACTGCTGGCCACATGTGGAACAAGCCGGTGAGCCAAAGCACATGTCCAGTCTCTGTGAAGCCCGTTTCACTGAGGAGGCTGTATTAGGTAACCTGGCCTTAATCCTAGGTCGCCAAACAACAGCTCTTAGCTCTTCCAGATGACACAGTAAGGGCTGAGTCGGGGCACAGAGTGAAGGACGAGCAACCGACAAGTGCTCAGCACATGTGTGAACTCCTTCAGACTGCTGGAGAAGCATCGAGCTGCCTCCTTCATGGAGCTAAGAGTGTGCATAGCTGCTGTCACAGCTCAATATGTCCACTTACACAGTCTCACATAGGACACATGGTGTTATTGGGTCAGATCAGCATGGGATGTGCTTTCAAAGTCATCACGTCACACATTCATCACACAACACATGTTCTGTCTGACTTCTAAGTGTGTGCACATGAATCCTAGGTCGCCAAACAACAGCTCTTAGCTCTTCCAGATGTATCAGCCATGGAGAAATGACAGGGCCCAGGTTCCAGAGACCAGAGTCTTCTACCTGTTGTCTCATTGTGGACATGTGCTCAGAGTGGGATGTGTTCTGCTCACACAACTACTGTGTAGGCTGGATAAAGACATAAGAGGAGGACAGCAGAGTCTGTCCACTATCCATGTCTTCTCCTGAATCAGGACCAGTGGATCCAAGCTGGGATTAAAGTGTTTGAACTGAGAATTCCAGTCCTGGTCGAACCTCCATCTCACCCTGGGAAGAAGAGCTCCCCTCAAATAGCAGACTGTGGCAGCACTTTGCTTTCATTCCACATCATTACATGTGTGTTATGTCAGAGTTTGGTTGTTTTCACTGAGGAAATCAGCCACTGAGAAGGTTGGACGTTTACAGGAAACACTGGCTCTTTGCTTTGATACTGACTGGGTTTAGTACAATACTGCTGAGGCAGCAGGGACTGAATGCAACCATCTACTCACCTCAGACTCTCCAGTCGACAGTCTATACTCTGCACTAGATCACACAGCTTCTTCACATCTGGATTCTGCAGGTCGTTCCAGCTCAGGTCCAGTTGTCTCAGATGGGAGGGGTTGGACTTCAGAGCTGAGGCCAGAGAAGCACAGCTGGTCTCTGACAACCTGCAGCCCCTCAGTCTGAATAAAGAATAAACCATGTGACGTTAGAAGAGCAAGTTCCTGCCTGAAACCATTCAGTGCTCCATCATCTGTTCAGAGCTGAAGAAGGTTTAGAAAGTGGAAACTCCAAAGCGCTGAACCCAACAGGACGCAGGTTAAAACAGGAAGTGACACCGAGCTCTCATTAATATTAATGACAACATGCTGCTGCTTCAGTAAAGGACACATCAGGATAAACAGGAAATAGTATCATCAAAGTGTTGGAGCCATCAGACAGAGACTGTGTATTTGTTATTGTCTGAAAGGTTACACAGTGGGTTGGTTATTGTTTTAAACGTTTGTCAGAGAAAATAAACCACCAATTGGACCAAACCATAGAAGAAGAAAGCAGTTTCCCATGAAGCTCCTCAGTGTGGATCAGTAGAATATCAGCCTTATGTCTGCAGTTTGGTGTCAGCACAACTTTCACATCAGATTTATCTCAGCACAGAACTAAAACATGGTGTCTGACCTTAGAGTCTCCAGTCGACAGTGTGGACTCTCCAGAAAACCACACAGTTTCTTCACTCCTGGATCCTGCAATTCGTTTCCAATCAGGTCCAGTTGTTTCAGATGGGAGGGGTTGGACTTCAGAGCTGAGGCCAGAGAAGCACAGCTGGTCTCTGACAAACTGCAGTGACCCAGTCTGAATAAAGAAAAAAACATGTAGATGAAGTCATTGATAATCCAATCAGATATGTCCTAATCAATGAGTTTTTCTCTCCAATGAGCAGCACTACCTTGTCCTTCTGTTGTTCTACTGTTTCTGATCAGATCAATATCTGCAGCTCACTGAGCTCAGAGCTGTTAATCAGGAGCTCCATTATCAATCAGGTAGTTTGTGAGGAACCAGGTGTAAACGTCAGAATGTTCCAGCTGTTATTTCACTGGGTCACAACAATCAATATCAATCAGTGATCAATACGTCCAGTCTGCTGCTGCTCAACTCATGTTCAGATCGCCAAAATTTATTCTGCTGCTTCATTAATGTCCATGTTGATCCATTTAGTAGGAGCCAGTAAAAACTGGAGGATCTCTGACTTGTCACTCAACAACAAGCTGATCTCAGATCTGAGCCGAGTGTCTGACTTGAACTGATTTACAACTGGACTGACTTACACATGGTGAAAGCTCAGCTCCAGACTCACTAATAGGCCTGGAAGGATCCAGATGTGATGACCTGACTCTAAAGGACATGGGAGTCGCTCAGTTCCAGTAGAAGTCCCTCATATTAACTGACTGTTTGTCAAAGCCGCTGGACGTTTTCTGCAGTTTCTGGAGAAACAGTTTCTCCCCGACTGTGAGAAATACTAGTGAACACACATTGTTTAAGACGACCATGACAGTGAACCAAGTCAGATGCTGACAATTTATGATGGATTCACATGTTAATCATGTATTTCTGTTGACTTGTATTCTCATGTGTTGTGTGTGTCCTAGAAGTCTGGCTGGAACCAGCAGAATGTGGGGCCTCACAGAAGGGTCTCAGCATCCAGAGACAGGGAGCTCTGGGTTTCTGCAGGAACCTCTATGTGATGGGGGACAAGAGGAGCCCTCTGCCCTCTCAGAGTCACGGCTCTGAGTCTTTTCTCCTTACAAGGTCAAAGGTCTGAAGTAGGCATTCTACAGGTTAAGGAGATGTTATGTACAGACACTTAACATTTGTCAGCCAATAGGAGAAGGTTTCTGTGTCAGGTGGTTTTATATATGAGCTTGTGGCTCCTGATGCTCTGCTGAAGAAACTAAGCTGAAAAAAACTGAGCTGTGTTTTCCTCCTGTGTTGCAACACAATGTTCAGCAACCAGGGAGACTTGGCTTGGTTTGAGGTTTCCAGAATCATAGAGGGAGTTTGTCTACAACACGACTCAGTGAAATGAACTGAACCTGAAGGAATAATTCTTCATCTGCTGATAATAGAAGAAACATGAAAACACAGAATTAAACAACTAACATTCAAATGAGGTTCAGTTGGAGGTTAAAGTTCTCATATCTACAGCAGTAAGAGTCAGTGAACTCACCTCAGACTCTCCAGTCGACAGTGTGGACTCTCCAGAAAACCACATAGCTGCTTCACTCCTTGGTCCTGCAGGTCGTTTCCAATCAGGTCCAGTTGTCTCAGATGGGAGAGGTTGGACTTCAGAGCTGAGGCCAGAGAAGCACAGCTGGTCTCTGACAACCTGCAGCCCCTCAGTCTGAATAAAGAATAAACCATGTGACGTTAGAAGACCAAGTTCCTGCCTCCATCATCTGTTCAGAGCTGAAGAAGGTTTAGAAAGTGGAAACTCCAAAGCGCTGAACCCAACAGGACGCAGGTTAAAAGATACCAGAAGTGACACCAAGCTCTCATTAATATTAATGACAACATGCTGCTGCTTCAGTAAAGGACACATCAGGATAAACAGGAAATAGTATCATCAAAGTGTTGGAGCCATCAGACAGAGACTGTGTATTTGTTATTGTCTGAAAGGTTACACAGTGGGTTGGTTATTGTTTTAAACGTTTGTCAGAGAAAATAAACCACCAATTGGACCAAACCATAGAAGAAGAAAGCAGTTTCCCATGAAGCTCCTCAGTGTGGATCAGTAGAATATCAGCCTTATGTCTGCAGTTTGGTGTCAGCACAACTTTCACATCAGATTTATCTCAGCACAGAACTAAAACATGGTGTCTGACCTTAGAGTCTCCAGTCGACAGTGTGGACTCTCCAGAAAACCACATAGCTGCTTCACTCCTGGATCCTGCAGGTGGTTTCCAATCAGGTCCAGTTCTCTCAGATGGGAGGGGTTGGAATTCAGAGCTGAGGCCAGAGAAGCACAGCTGGTCTCTGACAACCTGCAGCGATTCAGTCTGAATAAAGAATAAACCATGTGAAGTTAGAAGACCAAGTTCCTGCTTGAAACCATTCAGTGCTCCATCATCTGTTCAGAGCTAAAGAAGGTTTAGAAAGTAGAAGTTTAGAAAGTGGAAACTCCAAAACAGCTGAACCAGCAGGATGCAGGTTAAAACCAGTCAGAGCCATCAGACAGTGACTGTGTATTTGTTATTGTCTGATAGATTACACAGTGGGTTGGTTATTGTTCTAAACATATGTCAGAGAAAATAAACTTACAGCTGACCAAACCACAGAAGAAGACAACAGTTTCCCATGAACCTCCTCAGTGTGGATCAGTAGAATATCAGCCTTATGTCAGCAGTTTTGTCCATATATCTCGTAATGTTTTAAATACATTTTTTTCCTTACATTTTAGTCTTACACTTCTATACATTTCAGTATGTGTCAACCACGTGACTGGAGTTGAGTGAGGGGCACCACTGTGGCATTATGGGACAGAAAAAACATGGACAAGAAGGAGAGAGACATACAGCCCCAAAGTTAACGTTAGACTGCATGTGATTCTAGAGGTGCAAACGGTAAACCTATATATATGTTGCATTTGTGATCAATGTTGTTAATGTGCCTCTACTTGGACATGTTTAAAATTCTTCATTGTTACTTTGTTCTGTAGTTTTCACAATGTCCGAACGAAACACAGAGAGGGGAAAATAAACTTTCTGAGGACGACAGTAGGAAGCGTGGCGATCCTTTGAACCAAACTAGAACTGAACCAGTGCAGCTACATGTACATGAGGTACGGAGCCATATGCATTGGTGAGGTCCAACCACACTACTGCCAGGTCTCTCTTGCTTTCATGTGTCGCCCTGATCAGCTGTGTTACTATTCCATTGTGTTCAACGCATCCTGGGACTCCCAAAAATCCTCAAATTTGTACACAAGTGTTGATGTACTGTTCTTTTAAGGAGGTATTCTGTCAGCTGCTGGGCTGCAATGGTAAAGAATATCTTGCACTCGATGCTGAGCAGAGAGAGATGGTCCTGAGCTCTTCAATGTTAGTTGAGTTCTAGGGTTCTCCTCCTTTGGTATCCATATGCCTTTTGCATATCTCCACTAATCTTGCAAAGTAAATAGTCAAGCCTAGGACATATCTTGTACACAAGGTATGGGACTCTGCCCAGTTTGTTTTTGCAGTTCTCTATTTGTCAGCACAACTTTCACATCAGATTCAGCTCAGCACAGAACTAAAACATGGTGTCTGACCTCAGAGTCTCCAGTCGACAGCGTGGACTCTCCAGAAAACCACACAGCTTCTTCGCTCCTGGATCCTGCAGCTTGTTGTCACTCAGGTCCAGTTCTCTCAGATGAGAGGGGTTGGACTCCAGAGCTGAGGCCAGAGAAGCACAGCTGGTCTCTGACAGACTGCAGTGACTCAGTCTGAATAAAGAATAAAGCATGTAGATGAAGTCATTGATAATCCAATCAGATATTTCCTAATTAATGAGCTTTTCTCTCCAATGAGCAGAGCCACTTTGTCCTTCTGTTCCTATGGATCATCATCATGCCAGCCTTCTACAGACATCATCCAGATGTCAGCACAACATTCACACACCTGTTCATGTCAACACTGATTCATGGTAAAGTCTACAGGAAATGCTTTGGATTTGCAAAATAAAAGCCCAGTGAGTCATTAACAATGAATCATTCCTTCATTCAAAAACACTGCTGACCTCAGCCAAGTGTGTAAGAATTAAACCAGCCGACATTTTGGATCCAAAACCTTTTCCCAGTAGAACAGAGCCTTAACTGTTGCCACTGTTTCATGTCTGAATGTCTGAGTTCAGGAAATAAACAGTAGCAGCACATGAACATGTGAAGAAAGACTCATTGTTCATGTGTGTTTGCTGCAGAGGTTGGATCGATGTCTTTTCACCGCCCAAACAAACACAATGGCTCATTTGGTGTATTTCCTGTAAAACACTGTTCTGAAGCTGCTTTTCATTTTTATATCAATGTGTTTATGTACCAAACATTAGAAACAGTGACTTCATGTCACAGCATGATGGAGATAAATCAACTGTTTTCTCATTAACGTCAATCCAGTTTGAAGACTCAGCAAAGCAAATGAACAGAAGAACATTGAAAACTTCTGTGGATATAAAACATAGAAACACCTGAACTGACCTCAGAGTCTCTAGACAACAGTGTGGGCTCTCCAGTCCAGCACACAGCAGCTTCACTCCTGAGTCCTGCAGTGTGTTGTAGCCCAGGTCCAGTTTTCTCAGATGCGAGGGCTTGGACTTCAGAGCTGAGGCCATGACCTCACAGTGAGTCTCTGAGAGTCCACAGTCAGAAAGTCTGTTGTGACAGGAAATATCAAGTTAAAATTGGATCAAATCTCAGACTTGGAATAAAACCAGCCTTGATTCATTTCACTCTCAAAGGAGATTGGCTGTAGCTCAGGTGGTCAGTAGGTCAGCTGTTAAGCACAAGGACTGCGGTTGGAAACCTGAGCTCTTCCTGTCCACATGTCAAAGTGTCCTTGAGCAACATGATGAAACCCCAAGACTTTGGACAGAAGTGTCCAGATGAAATGTCAGACTCTGATTTACAGGGGGCTGTGATTGGTCAACTGGATTTTAACCTTCATTCGGCTCTAACATCATGTTAGGTTAGAACTGCACTGTACTGTATTTATTGAGGTGATTTGTCTGTGTATATGTTGGACATCTTTAATGTGTGTCATGTGGCCACGGCTCCTTTTCATCTTCCATTAAACAGACTGACTCCAGCAATGCAGTACCTCCTAAAACTGCTGTGAGGTCATTTTTATAATTGCACATTAGAAATCTCTTACTGGAATATTTGGTCAGTTTTTTTTTTTTTTTTTTTTTAATAGCATGTAAAAATGGATGAAATAACATAACATCAGAATTTTATGAATTCACTTCAGTTAAACTATGAAATGGAAAAATACATGTAATAAAATATGAGAAAGCTGTCAAACAGATAAAAACATTAACATTGCTCATAAACACTGAACATTACAATAACTGTCCATTTCTTTCATGAGAAATGAACATGAATTCAGAAATATTTACAAAGAAAGAGAGCCTTGGATAAAAACATGTGGGAACTACAGGCCTATTCTGCTCCACATTCTGCCAAACAGCTTACTCACAACCAGTACAAACACTGAAGACATTGACAGTACACTGACCACACACAGGTTGCCGGCACGACGCCCGATTTGAGTTTTGTTTTTATTGCAGTGCATTTTGACTGTACACTGCCTTTGCTTCTACTGAGTCTGCTCTACCACTGTTTAAAGGGGCAGTGGCACAGTCTCAGTTGCCTCTTTCATTTGCATGTGGTCGCTGTGTAATTTCTTACACAACTGCAGAAGGAAGTGGCGCCTAGCAATTTTTACTTTTGTGCAGCTCCAGTAAAGAATGCATACATTGCTGCCAGCCAGGTCCAAAATGTTACAGAAGACGATGACTGGCCATCTGCGGGTGGCAGCTCTTGTGGAGTACTGTCTGATCATTTTATCCAGGACATCCACTCCCACCTTGGTCTTGTTATAATAGTGCACCGTGTCTGGCTTTTTCCTTCTGGCTGTTACTTTCCACGTTCACCGTCTGGTGCATTGTGCTGAGGATGCACACATTTTTGCTCACCTTGCCCTGGTATATTGTAAGTATTGTCTTGTCACTCTTCATCACTTTGATGTCATGCAGTGGTGCTTTCTGAGGCACAGAAGGTGGGAGTGAATGCCTGTTTTTGTTCACAGTGCCTACCAGGCTGGTGTCCCTTACTAGGAGTTTATGAACAAGGTGGAGCGATGTAAAAATGTTGTCTGTAGTGACATTTCTCCCCTTACCTAGGTAAGGCTGCATCAGGTTCATCACTACACTCTCTCCTAAACGTGTTTTAAGCTGTGTGTCTGACTGGCTATATAAGTGCAGTCTATTTACCATTTTTGCATTAGGAGTAATGGAGGTCAAATCTCTCTCTCTCTCTCTCTCTCTCATTCCAGAATCCCCCAAAGGCATAAGAGGATGTATAACACACTTTTAGGAAAAGTAATCGACTGGGAGACATAGGGTTTTTATTCAAGCAGAGTTACATGCATTTTAATAGGCAAGAGAGGTTAAAATGACCTCTTGGCGGTTCTAGTGTTAACACTATAACCAGCAGATTAGAAGGTTGTATTATTCTAACGTCATGTCTGATAGTCGTCATCATGTGGAGGTGAACTGGCTGAAGTCAGTGCTGTAGAAACACAACCACATCCTGTCTTTTCTGACCTCAATGATCATCAAAGTGACACCGCTGAACTGAAGCCGCTGAAGCTTTATTTTATCGTCATTGTAACATTGTGACACGTACAACGAAATTATGTTTGGAGCCGAGGGCTCTACGACTATGACTGCTCTACCCACCGCACCACTGTCGAAAGACAGACCGAGAGAGAGGCAAAGACAGCAGCATGGCTTCTGCTTCTACATCAGACTCTTGTCTAACACAGCAACATATGTGGACAGATGTTCCCTGTTGGAGTGAACTGCCTTCTGTCACCTCCATCCATCCATTATCTATACCACTTATTCCTGAATAGGGTCATGGGGGGCTGGAGCCAATCTCAGCTGACAATACGCGAGATGCGGGGTACACCCTGGACAGGTCGCCATTCTATCACAGGGCTAACAGAGACAGACAACCACACACCCACACTCACTCCTATGGGCATTTAGAGTCACCATTCAACCTAAGCTGCATGTCTTTGGACTGTGGAAGGAAGCCGGAGTACCAGGACGGAACCCATGCATCATGTCTTAAGAGACTCGAACTCAGAACCCTCTTGCTGTGAAGTGATAGTGATAAGCACCGTGCCACTGCACTGCCCTCAGCAGCTTCAACACGAGTTTAATAAAACATGTCAAGTGTTTGTATATGTGTGTAAAGTGTGTGTCTTTACGCTGATGCTTCAGGTTTTTGATGATTTATAATACTGATGGTCACATTTGGACTCACCGAGCATTTCTGCAGTTCCTCACAGCTGGGACCAGTCTCCGTCGTCCCTCCATTGATGTATTGTACTTCTTCAGGTCCAGCTCATCCAGAACCTCCTCTGACATCTGCAGCATGTAGGCCAGAGCTGAGCACTGGATCTCAGAGAGTTCCTGCTCCGACCTGGTTTCAGACTTCAGGAACTCTTGGATCTCCCAATGGACTGAGTGGTCGTTCAGCTCCATCAGACAGTGGAAGATGTTGATGCTTCTGTCAGGAAAGATTTTATCGCTGCTCATCTTCTTCAGGTTGTCAATGGCTCTCTGGATGGTTTCTGGACTGTTCTCTGTCTGACCCAGCAGGTCTCCTAAGAGTCTCTGGTTGGACTCCAGACAGAGGCCATGAAGGAAGCGGACAAACAGATCCAGGTGGCCATTTTTAATTCTCAGAGATTTCTCCATAGCTCTCTTCAACACCACATCCAGAGAAGAGTCATTATAGTCTTCCCCCAGAAACCTCTCCAGTTCCTCCATGTTCCTGTTGGTGTAACAGTGGACCATGTAGACTGCAGCTAGAAACTCTTGAACACTCAGATGAACAAAGCAGTAGACTGATTTCTGGAAGATCATCCACTCTCTTTTGAAGATCTCTGTACAAAGTCCCGAGTACACAGACGCCTCTGAGACATCCAGACCATGCTGCTCCAGGTCTTCTTGGTAGAACATGATGTCTCCTTTCTCCAGATGTTCAAATGCCAGCCTCCCCAGCTTCAGAAGAACGTCCCTGTCAGCCTCCATCAGCTCCTGTGAACTTGTCCCATGTCCCTTACTGTACTTATGCTTCTTCCTCTTAGTCTGAACCAGCAGGAAGTGTGAGTACAGGTCAGTCAGGGTCTTGGGCAGCTCTCCTCTATGCTCTGTAGTCAACATGTGCTCCAGAACTGTAGCAGTGATCCAGCAGAAGACGGGGACTTGACACATGATGTGGAGGCTCCTGGAGTCCTTGATGTGGGAGATGATCCTGCTGGACAGCTCTTTATCACTGAACCTCCTCCCGAAGTACTCATCCTTCTGGGCATCAGTGAAGCCTCGTACTTCTGTCACCCTGTCGACACATGTCAGAGGGATCTGATTGGCCGCTGCGGGTCGGGAAGTGATCCAGACGAAAGCCGAGGGAAGCAGGTTCCCCTGGATGAGGTTTGTCACCAGCACGCTGACCGAGGACTTCTGGGTCACATCAGACACAACCTGCTTGCTGCTGAAATCCAGCGAAAGTGTGCTTTCATCCAGGCCGTCAAAGATGAACAGAACTTTACAGACAGCCAGCTCCTCTGCTGTGACCTTCTGTAAGGTTGGATGGAAAACATGGAGCAGTGTAAGAAGACTGTGCTGCTCATCTTTAATCAGGTTCAGCTCCCTGAATGATAGCAGAACCAGCAGGTTGACATCTTGGTTTTCCAAGCCCTTTGCCCAGTCCAGAGTAAACTTCTGCACCGAGAAGGTTTTTCCAACACCAGCAACACCACTCGTCATAACCGCTCTGATGCATCTCTGTTGGTCGGGGAGGGCTTTAAAGATCTGGTGGCACTTGATTGGAGTGTCCTGGAGGGTCTTCTTCTTGGAAGTGGTCTCAAGCTGCATCACCTCATGTTGGGTATTGACCTCTTCACTGTGTCCCTCTGTGATGTAGAGCTCAGTGTAGATCCTGGTGAGGAGGGTTTTACTTCCTGTTCCATCAGTTCCTTCAGTCACATGTTTACATCTGCTCCTCAGACTGATCTTATGTTCATCCAACACCTCCTGCAGACCATCGGCTGAAAGACAAGAGACAGTTAAACATGACTTTGTCTTACACAGAATCTCTATTGTGAAGTTCCCAGTCAAAACTTAAGACAAGAAACACAGTCTCACTTGTTCGGGACCTTTTTCTACACTGGGGACAGTAGGAGCACCCTGATGAGCCAGACTGGTCCCAGAATGAGGTCAAGCACTGTCTGCAGAACCAGTGTCCGCAGCTGGTAGAGACTGGGTCCTTCGTGACGTCCTGACACAGACCACAGCGGGATAGCTGCTGCTCCTCAGAGCCATGGCTCCTCTTCCTCCCTCTGTGGACATCAACACAGTCTTTATACCAAGACATCAGCAGTCAACCACCCTCAACTCACTAGCTGCATCCAGCTCCGTCCCTACATTTACAGCACCGGTCAAAAGTTCAGACACCGTCTCATCTAGTGGCTTTTCTTTGTTTCTGGTACTGTTCACATTGTAAAATGAAATTCAAGCCATCAAAACTATGACACAACACATATGGCATCATGTAGTGAACAACAAAGTGTGTTTGGTGTTTCCAGTCCCTCAAAGCAGCCAGTGGTTGCCTTGACGACAGCTTTGCTCATCTTCGACAACATCACAACCAACTTCATGAGGAAGACGCCTGGAGAGATTTCACTTACCAGGTGTGTCTTGTCACAAGGTAACTTTGTGCATCTGAGACCATCAGTTGTGTTGTATGGAGTTAGTGCTGCTACTCAGCTACTGTAGGAATCCATATTATGGCAGCAACTACTAAACGAAGTAACGAGAAGTGATGATTCCTTCATCAGTCAAAACAAGAAACTGAAAGTTTGTCAAGTGCAGCCAGAGAAACCATCAAAGCCTCTGATGAATCTGGCTCTCATGAGGACCTCCCCAGGACAGGAAAACCCAGAGAGTTCTCTAGAGTACATGATTCTACATTCCTGATGAGCAGTCGACCCTGAGGTGATTTGAGTTTTGCTGGACACGCTGTGAAATTTGGACACAGTCGAGCCGGATCTAAAGGACAAACTGAGGATTTCCTCTGAACTGGTGCAAAGACTGTTCACATCTCCATGAATCCATTCTCTTCATTATGGCTCTGTTGAGTGGCCAAGTGCTTTCAAATCCACATTAGTGGTAGAAGAGCAAATGAAGCAGATTCATCTGTCTGAGGCTCACAAACTATAATATGAGGGGCTGGTTGAAAACTCCTCTCAGCTTCTGTGTATTTACTGAAACTGGTTCAGGTTCTGATCAGTTTAACAGAGGATTTACTGAGATGTCAGACGAGCTCATCTGATTTGTAGAAACCGTCAGTGAAGAAGTGTTTGTCGGCACCGTGACTGAGCCTCACACTGAGCCATGACTGAGCCAGTAACATGTAGGAGCCACCTGGATGTGCTCAGATCAGTGCCATTAACAATTATTAACTGCAGTCTGGAATGTTGATTAAATTACTAAATAAATGGAAAACCTGGGAAAATGATTAGCATTTAAATTTAGTTGTATGGATGCTGATTCAGCATCTATACTATGTTTTCCTGGTGTTTATTTATTATTCTTCCATACGTTTTTTGGCCCTTAACTACTTCAGCATACTTTCAGCTAGAAAAACCATTCAGGTGTCAAAATGTTCAGCATTTTCAGGGCGATCTTTCAGCACTCAGCATCCATATGCATTTTCTTTAGAAAATGCATTTCTCTAGTTCTAATTATAACACCAGTTGAACAGTAAGGTAAGGAAGGTATCTGAGAGTCGGCTGATGACAGAGGCTGTTTTCAGATGACGTCTCAGCAAAACCCACAGCGACCATCGACCAGTAACAGGCTGTGTAACACCGTTTATTATACACCAGGCAGTCAGTGGACAGCCGGCGCTACAGAGTGGGACCAGCACAGGATGACGTCATTACTAGAAGGTGAACTGTCCACAGGTGTGATAGGTGCACATTATGTGCATGTATGTAAGAGAACAGACAGAGCAAACAAGATGGCGGATGCTGAAGATGGCGGCCAACAGGCACTGGGACCCTAGGAGGCGGCTGCACACATGAGCTCCTGAGGCCACGTGAACAACAGAGCAAGCAGAACAGAGAGATTCTGACCCAACACAGACATGTAACTTTGTTAACTGCAGCCTCCGGACAGATCTTCTATATTCACCCGCTCATAACACTGAGCTGTTGAAGGAAAAGACCGGTCTGTTGTCCACATCTGTCCCCCCGTCGAGATGCTTCCCCTGTTACAATTGTGTCTCTTCTAGCATTCCCCTGCCCTCGGTGGTTGTGGTCAAGATAAGGCTGGGGTCTAGGTTAGGGGAACCACATCTCAACGTGGGAACAGATTTCCACACAACACCGGTTTGTTTCTGACATCTGATCTGAACAAAGCCTCTGAGCAGCTCTTTAGTAAATAAGGACCAACACAATGAGACTATGACTTCAGACAAACATCTACCCACCTACTGCTGTTAATGTGAATAACATGTCCACACTGAATCATCTTCAGGTCAGTTTACAGCAGAAACTGGCTCTTACTTTGTTTCCAAGGATCCAGGTCCACAACCAAAGCTTAGAGGATGCTCTTTGGACTTGTCACTCTTTATAGAGGGACAGTTGGACCCTGGAGACTCTGGTCTGTCCTGGTCTTCCTCCATCATGGACTGGAGTCAGTTTGAGAGTTAAACCAGTAACACTGACTGGGAACTCTGAACACAAGAATCACAACCATCACATCTGTTCAAAAGTCACACATCAGCCTGAGGGAACAAGAAGTGAAGCGCACACACATTAACACAGTGTAATAAAAACAGGCGGCCTCCACCTGAGCCTGGTGTCTTGGCTGGTTTAATGTTTCTGGTTCAGCCCGCCAGGACTTTGTGTCCACAGATGAACCAAAATGTTGAGTTCTGTAAATTGAAAGAACAGGAAGCAGCCAGATGTCAGACCTGAATTCTTACTCTGCTGCTCATTGTGAACTCAGTCAGAAGGCGTGGTGCTATTTTTCACCCTTGACCAAAGGTAATGCCAAGTGTGCTGTAAAGTGGTAACACATAGCAGCAACACTAGCCCCCTTTTTAAGCATTTAAAAACAATGCACCCCGACACTTTCAAAGATGCTGAACATTGCCATGAAGCCAACCAGCAGGCCTCAATGTCCCCTGCACCACCTGCTGTCCATCAGAAGACATTGTGGGAGAGTTTCATGAAAGGCAAAGAATATCCAGGTACAGGTGACAGTTAATGTGTTATAAGTGATTAAAAATTGAATGAACCATTATTTTATTAAACTACCCCAAACTGCAACTGAGCTATGTGAATCTTGGATGAAGCCATGTTCATCACTAAAGGTTCATATGCTTGTACTGTATGTATCAGAAAATACTGAGTTTTGTTTCTAGAATGTTATTAATGGAAGTAGAAATTCAGTATATATCAGGGTATAAATGATACATTTTTAGATGAACAAACTATCTTGACTTAGAATAAAATATCTAAATAAACCATTAAATAAACTGCACTTTTGCTGCATGATGATTAAATTGTTATAACATTTTGATTTCCCTTTTTTTGTAATTTGGTAACTTTAATTCCTTTTATATGATTCCCAAAGAGCCAGAGACATAACAGAGAGCCTCGTTAAGATGATTGTTACTGACTTGCAACGTGTTTCAATTGTCGAGGATGCTGGTTTTCGTCACTTTATGAAAGTGTTGGATCCCAGATACCACATCCCTGGTAGGAAAGCCTTGATGATGGCTGAAATTCCACCAATCGCATAAAAACGCGATTTCTTCCTGATGACCTTACATGAAAACTATTTGTGTCCAGTCCAGTTGTGTTGCCGGTCGGCCTGGCCTGACACACACACAACGTTTCTGGTGACTTTAACCTGGTGTTACGTGTTACACTGGTGTTCTGTTCATGTTTTGTTTACACTGCCTGTGTTCGCGGGTGTTATTTACCCATATCATCTTCTGGCTTTGCAACTCAACATAATCAAAGAATTTCATCTAAAACAATGTAATAATCAACTCTAATAATCAACAGATGTTTACATTTGCCCTTTACCTTTGTTAGATTACATTATATAAGGGTTAACCCTGGTGTGCTGTTCGGGTTAATCAAACCCGTTTCCCTTTTCATCTAAAAAAGATACGGGTAATTATTTTTTCAGGCTCATACTCATGTTGTGTGAAGAACATATATCAGAACACATTTTCAATGACCGCAAACTGCTGAAAATCGGTGGCCAAAAACCACAGATCAATATAGGTTTGTCTGTGTTCAATGGGGCTGTGGTGTGTAGACCAAAATGGTTACTGTGTGTTCAGCTTGTGCTGTGCACAATGTTTAAAATGTCCTGAATGTTTGAAATGAATGAGGTTCAAATAAAAATCAGTAGTTGTGGAAAAATCTTGCTTCATTTGTAAATTTGTAATTATGTTGAGTTACAAAGCCAGAAGATGATGCGGGTGCAGGAGACTCACGAAGCGAACACCACCAGTGTAAACAAAACATGAACAGACGTTTTACCAGGGGCCCGTTTCAAGAAGGAGGTTTTGTTGAAACTCTGGGTTTGTTAAACCTCCTTCTTGAAACGGGCCCCCCAGTAAGACTGCGCATCTGGCTTCCGGTCTCAACTCTGGGTTGTCACAATTTATATTGGAAAATAAACTATCCAGATTTCTAGATATGAGTGGGATGGATGCCGTCTCTGTTAATCAGACCAGGTTTCCCCAGTAGAAGAAGAAGAAAGTGTAAGATTTTCACTCACCTGCCTCGGACTTCAGCTTCCTGCTGTCAACTGAACATGGAGTCTGAACTCAGTGTCTGCGTCTCCTCCCTTCTTCTCTATTTACAAGAAGTCACGTCTCTTCCCTTCTTCTCTATTTACAAGAAGTCACATGGTTGATATCGAGCGTAAGGGTGTGTGTGTGTCAACATAGAGTTTGAACTGCTGCCCTGTTCACTTTCGTTTTCGGTACCTGGGTCACCTGATCAGTGTGGCTCCGCACCTCTCCATATACAGGAAATAAGTTTCCGTCGGCGTGCATACAGTATGTGTTTGTGGGTGCATTTGTATAACTCACATTATGTGGACTCGGCTACAATCACTGAATTTTAGTGGGGGGGCAACATGGTTTAAGGTTAGGGTCAGTGTTAGGCAAGTGGAAGTCTACATGAAATGAATGCAAGTCAATGTAAAGTCCCAACAAGGAATGAAAACTGTGTGTACACAATGAATTCCAAAAAATATAAAGTCTAAATATATAATAGATAAATAATAATACAAAATAAAGGCTCTTAAAACAGCAGCAGGTGAAAAATATAATAAGAATATATGCTACATCAGCTGTCTGTGCAACAGTCAGAAATGAATGTGCAATTATACATATGTGAACTGGAAACAAATGTCAGGTGAAGTTCAGCTGTTTAGGGGTGTGATGGTAATGGGAAAGAGAGTTCTTTAGTCTAGAAGTCCTACATTCCACACTTCTGTACCTCTGGTGTGAACAGTCAGTGCTGGGGATCCTTGGATGGAGGATGGAGGCAGCTCTCCTGTGACTCTGCTGTGGCAGATGCTCTGCAGAGAGGGCAGTGGGGTCCTGGTGATCTTCTCAGCAGTCTTTACCACTCTCTGCAGTTGTTTGCGGTCCATAACAGTACTGCTGCCATACCACACGGTGATACAGCTGGTCAGGATGCTCTCGACAAGGCAGCTATAGAAGTTGCTGAGGATCCTAGGCGACATGCCAAACCTCTTCAGCAAGTACAGCCGCTGTTGGGCCTTCTTGACCAGCTGTGTGGTGTCAAGTGTCCAGGGGAGGGCCTCACTGATGTGGATTTTTGTTTTTTATTGTCTTGACATTTCGTATCATTTAATCCTATATTCAGCCTTAATTCCATGTTTTGCTGATACATCCACATTCTGTCTGAGGGCTGATTCTACTGTACTAATAGTTGATCACTTGTTGATGATCTGCTGGTTGATTGCTGAAGTTCACTGATGACATTATGTGCATTAATTGCTTTCTGCTCATAATTAGTTTATCAATTTAATTCAAAATGTGATCATTGGCTGAGGTTAAAATTTGATTCATTTGTGACTTATTTGCCTTCTTAACTGGTCTCCAGCTCAGATACTGTGATGTGCATCGACTGACATTTGCAACAACATCAACTTGTGTGCTCATGATTTTTGATATTCACTAAAATCACAGCTACTTCCCAAACTCGCTTGTTTTGCCTGCCTCATTTCACCCATCTCAGCTGCAGTGACTCAGACCTGGTGTGTCCATAGCAGTGTGAACAGACCAGACCAGATCTCCTCAGATCAGATCTGGGCCACCTGCGTATGTACTCCTTAGACTCAATTCCTCTCCAACCTCTGACTGTGCGAGAGCTGTCAGAACAGTCAGATCAGAATCCATGTGGTCATTTTAATGTCTCCTCCTCTGCACACACGGCCTGTCGTCATCATTTGGCGTCGGCCCCTCACAGACCAGTAACAGTAAACATGGAGGAAGGCAACAACAGCGACGGGGGCAGTGGAGAGACCAGGATGTTTCACATGTGCTGGATGTTTATGGAGAAGCTTCTGATCAGGCCAATGTGGTGGCCCCTAGAGACAAAGCACATACAAAATCAAAGCACACACACAAACAAACTGTGCATCAAATCCAAAAGCAAAGAGCCCAGATACAGGTTTTTCAAATCATAAATATTTAGATGGATATAGCACATGCTGGTTTCCCCCATTTCCCCTCTTCTTCTCTGCTCTTTCCCGTTTCCTCTCTGTCATCCTTCCTCTCCTGTCACCTTGTCCTCCTGGGCCACTGGGAGGCGCTGCAACACAGCTCTCTGTCTCCAGCCTGACTGAACCACCTGACAAACATTTGACTACCAAATAATTGCTGGATATCAACGCTGCAAGGACCCCAGTTATTGTGTCCCGTGTGGCAACCACTTTACCCGGGCTACAAGAATAAGCTCACAGACAATGTCAGAAGAAATTCGCCGAGATCAGACTCAGGGATGAAATAAAACGAGTCGTGAATCTCATTCATTACACAACCATTAGTCCACCTGCTGTCCAAAATAACATACAACACAACGAGCCATTTGAACACTCACAAAGATGTGCATAAAAACAGTGTTTGACAGGAAAAACTAATGAGACATTTGTGCAAATTTGGTGAGTCAGGAAAACAGCTCCAACAGATGATCTGAGAGAAGCTCACTGCCATTTATTGACCTTAAAGCTCCACTAGCACAAATACTGAGTCATGTTACAGGAGTTTATTACCAGGACATACATCATGTACTGATGACCTGTACTGTTTACATTCTCAGTTTGCACATGCATAATTGCACATTGACTGTTGACTGCTGCACATGCTGCTCCCATGTAGCATACATTGTTTTATTATATTCTTATATATTTTTATTATATCGCTGCATTTGCTCCTTAAAGTGCCTCAGATTTTGTGTTACTTATTCATCTATTTCATATTTCATTTGTATTTTGTGGCATTCATGTGGATGGCAAAGTAAGAATTTCATTGTACAAGGAAACACATTTCCTAACTGTGCATATGACAAATAAACACTTTGACTTGACTACAGCCACATATGAGTCAATGTACAAAGATACAGAGTCAAAGCAGGACAGATGATCCATGATGACTGGTGACAGCCACTGGTGAAACAGTTCCTGGTCCAGATTCAGACTGATCAGGACTGAGAATGAGATGGCAAAGTATGTTTGGGGTTCATTGGTAAAGAGGGTGTACTTGAAGAACAGGGCAGTGGGTGTGCTTGTGTAACTGTTTATGAGTTTTTATTGAGAAATAATAGTTTGTCCACAGTTTTTGGACTCAAGTGGTTTCTCCTTTCACAGACCATTTCCCCAGCCTTGGAAAAACCTGAATGTTACTAAACAGGGATATCCTGTCCCTGAACACACTCGATCCCACAAAGTGATTCAAATGAGAAACCAAACCAATCAGGTGATTCATATGACTTCCAAAGCACTCAACTGCCACTCTAGTGCTTCAAACGTCCCTAGTCATGTGACCAAAACAGACTTCGGCACAGTGGTTTGATACAATTGCTTCATGAGTCGGAGCCTCGGGTGTCAGAGGACCATCACTATCTGTGTGTGTGTGTGTGTGTGTGTGTGTAAGACAGAACCATCACACGTTCCCACTGAGTAAGCTCCTCATCCACAATTTACCTGATTGTCCAGTTCTCTGGTGTATGGAAGTCCTCCACTTCATGCTCTCCCACTAAGGAGCCTACACACCTGCTGCTTGCCTGTTACTCCTGCTCGCCAGTGTGTAGAAGCTATACACATGCTGTTCCACTTATTAAGTTACTCACCGGCTGATAACTACTGACTGACCGCCTCTGCTCAAGAGCTGCTCACCTGTCCCTCGCCTGATCATCCTGTTTCCTGAGACTCTTCGCCACACCACCAGCTTCCCTGGAACCCTGAAGCTGAACCTCTCCACTACTGCCCTGCCTGTTCCAATGCTGCCCCTACTCCTCCACTCCCCATCATCTACTGAGCTCCACAGTCAACATCTGGAATGCAGCCAGCAGCTGAAATGACAGGAAAATACATGTTTTTTTTTCTCTGAATGCATAAACTGTGTGGTGAACTTGATTTCATTGTTCAGTATAGTATCATACTGGTCCCTAAGACATCAGACACATCCACCCTGAATGACTTCAGGCCAGTGGCGCTCACATCAGTTGCCATGAAGTGCTTAGAGAAGCTGGTCCTCACAAACATTAACCACATGGTCCCAGACACTGTAGACCCCCTCCAGTTTGCCTATAACCCCAACAGATCAGTGGACGATGCGATGGCTCTGGCTTTATTACATACCCTGAAACACCTGGACAACAGCAGTACGTATGTTAGGATGATCTTCCTTGATTTCAGTTCTGCACCATTTGGGGGTGGCTGTGGCTCAGGAGGTAGAGTAGGTCGTTTCCTAACCGGAGGATTAGCGGTTCGATTCCCGGCTTGTCCAGTCAACATGTCGAAGTGTCCTTGAGCAAGACAC